TATATTACAGCGATATTGGTTGCAAAAGTAATTAAGTATGAAAATATGTTGTAACAATTTTTTGACAAGTATGATACATTTGGCCTATCCGATGCAACGCGTTTTCGAGTTAAAAAGACCACTTTAATACATCTACGATATTAATTATCGCAGCTCGATGGCAGGACGTTGACTCAAGAGTGCTCAATTAGCAAATAATATGGGCTTATTTCAGAGGATTTGCCAACATTCGGTCTAATGTGCCTGGCTGATGATGTATAATAAGCCAGAAGTGACTATCCCAGCCTCCCTTCTCTTTGACGGCGTTTTTTGTTCCTACGCTCATACTTCGAAAATAAAAAAATAGGGGAAAGAGGGCGTCGAATATACCTATGAAAACAGTTCAGCGGATGTTAGGTTTTCGGTGATGAATTTACACCTAGGCTGTTTGCACTTTAAGCTGGCAACGAACAATTTACCTGACAGGAGTGATATTAAAAAAACTCCATTTTCGTGGTGCTCACTAGTGGAGAGATGTGCAGTTTATAAACGTTCCTATGAATCCCAGTTGCTTTAATCCGGACTCATGATAATCTCATAAATTCTGCCAATTTGACATTACCATTCACATTTACCCGACATCCCTCGCGGCAACTGTTATATATTTTTTTCTAAATTCAGTATGCAACGCCTGCAAGCGCAAATGAATCAGATTGCAATCACGCATATGAATGAAGTTCGTAAGACTCTCAGCGACTTTCGAGAAGCCTTCGAGAAGAGGACGCTGTTTCTCCGAAACTGTAATGCCGAGTTTTTAAAGGCTTGCCGGTAAGCTTGAAATCGAAAAATATTATGTGCCATATTAAGTTACAGAGCATCTAACTCCACTTAGTTGTGTGAATATGCTCAGCTTACCAAGCCTAATTGATGGAGAAGAAATATTATCTTGCTTTGCTATGTAGCATGATTGTTAAAATTTTAAATCTACCTTCAACACCAACATCATTTTTGATTGCATCAGACTATCTACTGAGTCCTTATCAGTAGCCCCAATATATGGCATATATTAAATACTCATCCGTAACTTGTTTTCCACACAGACTCTTCTCCGAAGACGGGAACTTCTCACCAGG